TAATATAGGATACGTTTTTTCTCAAAATTCCCACGGGAACATGTTAATTCTGCGTCAACGCAAAGTAACTCATGCGTTAGCAAGCAAAAAGATAGGGCGTGGCCTGGCATGCGGCGCCAAATGTCGTCGAAATAATTTAAAATGGTACTTACATATACATAGTCTTCTACATCTACAACATTTTCGTTAAATAAAAACAGCTAAAAAGTTATAAATAAAAAAAATATTATTAAAAAAACAAAATACCCGACTGCACACTAAAAAAAGAGTAAAACAAGCCCCACAATACAAATTTACTGAATATAATTTATAAATGTTGATGGAAAGCATCGCAGGCGGGGACCACCTTGACCGCCACCAACGAAAATTCTGCTAAATGGTGCACAACAGAAATGACTATAAATAAGCCTCTGTTGGTCCCCGCCTGCGATGCTTTCCATCAACATTTATAAATTATATTCAGTAAATTTGTATTGTGGGGCTTGTTTTACTCTTTTTTTAGTGTGCAGTCGGGTATTTTGTTTTTTTAATAATATTTTTTTTGAAGATAAGAAACAAACTTTACTTGCATGCAGTTAACTTTAACCGTTTGTTTTTCAAATAAATTAACCAGTTTTACTATCGCTTATTTTGTTACTAAGATTGTTTGAAGCGAGTGGTAATTGCTTCCTTGTTTTTCTTTTACGATTGCTTTCAAGCTGGTTTTACTTATTTAGGTAATAAATAAACTAGCTTTGTTAATGCCCTCCGCATAGACAATTTCAACGATTGGTTGTTGTGTACTTAAAGTCAAAAGTCAAAAGTCAAAAATCATTTATTTCAATTAGACCACAGTAGGCACTTTTGAACGTCAAGCAAGCAAAAAAGGAAAAAAAGTATATAACAAGAGCTTTAAAATTAAGCGTGTCGGTCTGTCCGTCTGTCCTCTAGTGAAGCTATTTGCTCGTTCCAAAGTGTAGATTCCTATGGAGAAGAACGAGCAAGAAACTCCATGGTTACTCTTTTTCAATCAGTTTTACAATACATTTCTTTGTTACATCATTTAGTCGGTTCTGATATGTGAGAACAATGTAACACTAATGTTCAGGCAAAAAGTACGAAAAAGAAGTGAACCTCAAGGACAACATAATTAGACAGCCTGGAGCTGACCAGTCCCCAATAGGCGGCGCCCGTTCACGAACATGACACGTACACCAGCACCGCCCAACTCAACCATATTATAGGGAATTGGGCGATCCAGTGCCCGTGCCACCGCCAATGAGACCTCTGAGTGAGCATGACAGCTCCCAGCCGACACAAGTACCTATATTCTACAAGTCTTACTTAATTATAATAGGTTACAGGGCACTCACATTTACAAAAACTTAGAAAAATAGGTAGTTACCTCTTAACACTTTCTTCTAAACTTAATTTGAGACTGGAAACATTGTAAAAGTAATAAATAAATACTTATGGAGTTACAGTACTATATAAAAGCCGATATTTTACACGAAATAATTGATATTCGTCCCCTGAGTGTCTAGTACGAGTTTTCTTGATCTTTTCGTAGGCGAAACGTTACCGCGTTTAGCTCTCTGATTGGTTGGCTAATTTGGAGCAGCCCAATCAGGGCAACTAAACCTGTCACCTACAAACGTAAAGCAAATTCGCACTGGGCATTAGTTAACCCATTGCCTCTGTGGTTGGCGGTGGATAGATGAGGTCTGGATATGAAGATGTGATATCCTGGCTTACCATCGGGTCACCCGTGGGAAGGTCATCCCTGCCCTAAAAGAAATATCTACTTTAATAAAATCTTACCCAAATAAAACCATCAAATAAAACATCGCAATCTTACCTTCATAAAAAAATATAATAAAACAATCCACCTTGATTAGGAACAAGGGCAACCGAATTTCATTTTTTATCATATTAAAAAGTTAGTACACAAGGTCCAATTTTATTTTCTAAACCAATTTCCTCTCCCTTTAAAGGCTTCATTTCGAAAGTTCGAAATCGGCCATTGATTAACTTGGAACGTGCAAATAGCTGTTTGAAAATCGCTTTTGTTGAGATCCGATTGGTCAGTTCGTAACTGGAATACATTTTCATTGGGTCGACAGTTTATATAATTATTTATATTTCTGTATGTCGCAGCCAAATAATTGAATTACACCCGGTTTCCGAAAGGCTGATCAATGTTAAAATCAATTTAATCTCTTGTCAAGTCATCTGATTGGTTGACTGAATTATCAACAACCAATCAGATGACTTGACAAGATATAGTTAGTTGATTTTAACATTGATCGGGCTTTTGGAAACCGGGATTAGTCATCGAACAACGATCTGAATGACTAGTCTTTTGATTGAATGACTACACTTCTTATTCAAGCTGTAAGCTAAAGGTTGAAGGGATTGTCACGAAAACCGAGTTGCTACCAGAATGGTAGGTTATACTAAGTTAAAACTATGAACTGCATAGAAATCGAATCCCCACCCCGTCAGAAAGAAACAGTTGTCAGGATGGTTACATTGTAAACAGGATAGGCTATTAATTGACTCATTGTCTGCGTCATATAGATTAGTTACTACTAAATTTTTTTTTGATGGTTGAAAGTACTTGAAGGATTCATGAAGTACCTAATAAAGAAAATATGATTAGATCGTGTCATAATCCGTTCTTTTAATGTAATCAACGAACAGCCTGTTTTCGCAGATACATATATATTTGGAACACAAAAAACAAAACTAAAACAACAATAAAATGATTCGCACGAGCAAATAACGGGGTTGTAACCGCCACTCAATAAACTAAACTTAAGAGAAAGTAGACACGGAACATTATTAATCAAAAAGGATGCCAGCTTTATTGCGGTGACGGGTATATTACACGTAAGTAACGCACTAGGATTTTTTACCGCTACGATTTCGAATGTTTATCGTTTGGAGCCATAATCATAAACAATGAAATAATTAATTTATTTATACAAATAGGCCATAAGAGTGCACTTTTACACGTCAAATTTGAATTATCATGAAAAACTAGATTGATCTGATTTTCTATCTAACTACTCTGAGAAAAAAGGCTCATAAACTCATGGGATATGAGTATGACTTAATCAAAAGAGTTAGACGTCCACAAGCGGTGTCAAGTATGACTGTTTTGTCAAAGAAAGTGTGGCCATTGTAGAAGTTGATTCTCCTCGACTTTTCCATTGTCTGCCCTGAATGAAGACCTTGAACAAGCTCAATCACAAGTGTTCATCAAAAAAAACTTTCCATCATCATTCCGCCTTTTTTTGTGAGGGGAAAAATCATCAAATGACTAAAAACCCATGTTCCTTCTCCTGCTCTGGGCTGAAAACGCGGTGCCTTATTGCGCAACTGCGCAACAACCCGCAGCCCCGGCTGAAAATGTGGAACGCTTCACGATTTTGCGTGTCATCCTTGCGCAGGGGCCATGCTAATCTTCTCTGTATCGTTCCAATTTTAGTATATGTACTGCCGAAGTATCATACCGCGTGGCAATCTGCAAAATTCTCTTTGCGGTGCCTGAACCTACTTATAAGACAAAAGATATTGCTATATCTATGAAAATCGGAGCTTATTATCATGGACCGACCGTCAGGATATACTAAACGGCTTCAGTTTATGTACCTATAACATAACTGCAAATCGTGAGTAGTCCATTTAGTTTTCTCAATGTGCACTCCTTAATACTTTATCATTAATATCAATTCTAGAAAATCAAAATGAAGTTAAGAAAGCTTAATTTTATTTAGATGTTATGATTAGAAAAAAATCAGACGATTTTTTTTCATAGAGCTAAAGAGTCTGTTTGTTTAAACGCACTTCTCACTGAAACTACTAGATTGTTTGAACAATACTTTTAGTGTTGGATAGTACAAGCTTTATGGTTTTATACCATCCAACACTAGAAGCATTGATATCACGCTATGGCCAATAGAAGCCAATCAGCGTGCATAGGACTAACTCGCTAGTTAGACATTCTAAATTAATTATTATGTTTTCGGCTCACGTAATAACTTGACGAGATACTCGACTAGTTTCAAGGCATGCTAGAGGCCCATATTCATGAGCAGTAATCCGCGAAGTGACAGTCACCGCGTCGCGATTTATAATATAATATACTAAATAAACGCCGCAAAAAAAACGCAGCTGTCAGTCTACCCAGTGCATAAAAAACCGCGCATCTCGGTAAATTAATTAAGCAAACGCTCAACAAAGTGAATTGACACACATAACTAAATAACTGGTTCATAAGTCATACAGTAATAAGTCTTGGTTACAGATATATTCATAGATTGTTTGATAGAGACCAGCTAGTGCGATGCTTGTGGCTTTACCCGCATTATAACACAAGTAACATCGTATTTGGCGTAGATATTTGTAAGGGATATGTCATGTCAGTCAAATCTGCTCAGATGTATCATAAAAAATGTTTCATTAAATATGCAGTCTTTTATTCATATACGTATAATGCGGTTTCAATAGTTAAATAGCATAATATAATGATACTAGAATCCCGGCTTTGCAATGGCAGCAATGCTGATAATTAATTTTTCCACTATTTTATACATGTTAACATACCTAGATATTATATCAAACACTTAAGATACTTCAATCACTTTATCTGTAAAAACACATCAAAATCATAAATAGGGACAGAGATAGCGACTTCGTTATTATGTAGAAATTATTTTAAAGCTTGCATTGAAATCCCAGTTATAACAATATTCAGTCAACGACATAATAAATACCTACTATATTCTTATTTTATCTTTATGTTAACAAACTATTTTAACAAATTGTTACTGGCCGCAAATAAAATAACTTTTGACTTTAAAATTCGAATAAAATATTTATTTTAGCGCAGCCATATTTGTGGAGCGTTCATGTGAAATTGACGGATAATTTTTATTTTTTAAAGTCTTTAATATTATTTTAATATTTAATTCAACTGACTGATTTCATTTTACCTAAATGTTAATTAAATAAAAATGCAATCCGTAGTGACATTTGAGAAGCCATTGCCGCATCTTAGTTTGGCCGATTGGGATGCGAGACTTTACGGCTTACAGGTACGAACAACATAAAAACAATAACTTATAATATTGTTTATCTAAAAATACCGTACTACAATTTATACATGGATGTAGTAGAAATTAATCTACTTATCTAAGTACTTAGATACGAATTACGACCGGAATTAGAATAAGTAGGAACTTTACTAACAGAAATTTTGATCCAAAATATCTAGATCGGCGCAACGAATATCGAAAATTAATCTAAATCTACAGAATTTGAATTGAACTCGATTCTGGAACATGCAAACATTGTCTTAATTATTATGTAGGTAGGTTTTTTCTTGTGAGGGGAAAATCATCAATTGACTTCGCCCGCCCAGAGTGTCAGACTCTTACTGACTAAAAACCCCCCTGTTCCTTCTCCTGCTCTGTGCCGAGGTCGCGGTGCCTCATTGCGCTTACCCCGCAACCCCGGCTAAACATCAGCCCTTTAGGGCCCCATCTGTGGTGGTCTAATGGCTCTTTTAGGCGCGCGCTGAACGCTACGCGCCGTACGCTCGGGCCTGGTTCTGGTCGGGCGGCTAGCTGCCCTTACTCGCCGACCGCAGGCCCGTGCTTACGGTGGCCGGAGATCATCCCTTGATCCCCGACGCCCGTAGTGTCGCCAGTTGCGGCTGCTGGGGCGTGAGGAGGAGGATTGCTCCCTCACGCGGGCCGCCTCTCTCTTTGCGAGCATGACTGCTTCACAAAAGGAGGAGACGGCGTCCCAGTTCCTCTCACTCCGCACCATGGCCTCGACTAAGGCCGGGCGCGAGAGGTCGCCGCCGCCGATCACTTCCCTGAGGATACGGCGGTGCTCAGCCCAGGCAGGGCATACCGCTACCGTATGCTCCACCGTATCCTCTAGGTGGTCCTCACAATGACGACACTCGGGCGTTTCCTCTCGCTGGATCCGAAACAGGAACCTACCGAAGCTGCCGTGCCCGGTAAGCACCTGCGTCAGACGGAAGGTGAGGACGCCGTGGCGTCTCTCAAGCCACTCCTCAAAGAGGGGTCTTACCGCTGCTATGGTAGCGTGCCCGTTATGTAGGTAGGTAAATACGTACCTAAGCCAACTTCATTTATAAATTGTATCTTCAGCCACTTACAAGCATAAAAAACTTAGTTACTTACGGTATCATATAAACTTATTATCTACTCTTAATTTCTTCTATTATATATGTAGCAATAAATAAAAAAAATATAACCTTTCCCAAACCTTTGAATTCCTAACAGCAAAATTACACACGAACGTAAAACGTTGCTATAAAAACTTTGCTAGGCGCTACGTATTTGTTTTAGCCGTGTCATGGCCGTCCAACCATGCTTTTTACCAGGAAATGAGTGCGAGGGTTGACCGTTGATGACCGATTGCTTGTCCATGTCATCCGTAGTTCCACAATTTCCCTGTGTCAAAGTTTGGGTTGAGGCTACATGACTGTGACGGCCTTTTATGACGCACGCAGGCTACACATTTATTATTTTGTTCGTAACTTGTAGAATTTTCGGAGAGGATTTTTAAACATAAAATACTCTTATAAAGATGAAGAATGTTTTAATCTTATGAACCTATTTAGATATAAATAGACTTTTATTGTAATGGATTGATTAGAGTAGTAGGTATCTATTATAATAATATACTAGCCCCGCGTAGTATGTTGTTAAAAAGCAGCTTTTAACCAAATCGGTCTAGCCATTTTTGCGTGAAAATAACAAACATAGTACATTCTCCCATACATTCACATTTATAATACTTATTTAAATTAGCACAGAACAGAAAATTAATTTTATCTTCTACTTGCTTCTTTCGCGCGGTTTCACCCGCTGCTCGGCTCCATTTAACCGTAGCGTGATGTTTTATAGCCTATATAGCACTCAGAAACATTGTAGCTATCTATCAGTGAAATAATTTTGGCAATCCGACCGACCAGCGGTTCCAACGATTACCCCCTACATACAAACTTACAAATTTTGCCTCTTTATAATATTAGTATAGAATTATAGATTCCGTGCCTATTAGTGAGTGGGATTTCATAAATTTTCGGATCAGTAACGTTTTACCTTAAATTAATTATTTTGTTCGATTCAATAGTCACAATGAAAACTAATTCTATTCAGTAAACTTGTATTTATACAAAATGGAACATTCATTTGATTACATTAAATCAAAACCAGTTCGTAGGAATCTATTGAAAACATGTGCCATTTGTTTTGGAAATTATTTTTCAATTTTAGTGAGTGCTTTGTATTTACACTAATTAACAAATCCTTCTGTTAATATATCTATTATCCTTTGATTAGTTATAAAATAGAGGTAAATATAAACTAATTAGGTATGATGTTTTTATATACCTATTACTATCATTTGCCCGAAAGTAACTCTGTGTGGGTGTGTGTCTTTTCTTCACGCCTAAACTACTGAACCGATTTGTGTGAAATTGGGTACAGACATAGTTTGAAAATCAAGAAAGGACATAGGAATGTTTTAAGAAGTTGCTATTCCACGCGAACAAAAGCTAGTTATCAATAAATCCAATTTAAAACAACAGGTCCTAGCTGATACCAGGCGGGCAGACGCATTCGATCTGCGACATGGCGCCCACCAGCTTCGTAACGAAACCCGCATCAAGACCGAATGGGACAGCTATCACAACAATAATAGACTTAGAGCCAGGTGAGGATAATTGAATGTCTGTGTCCGGGAACGCCTTAGAAGTATTTTGATTGAAGACATACAATTGAGTTGTAGTTGTCTTTGTAGTGAATGGATCGTTTTGTGATGCCTTCTGAAGCCATCTTGATATTATGTTGATAATATTTTTGTAGCTTTAATCTCTTCTTTTGGCGAAGATTTTTAAGTTTGAGAAACTTTCAAATGTTCATAATCAAATGGCCCAATCCTTCCCCGCCCCCAATCCCTCCTCAATCCCTAAATCTCCAAATCCCTAATCCCTAAAAGGTCGGCAACGCACTCGTAACTCCTCCGTTGCCATTGTCCATGGTCGGCGCTGATTGCTTACCATTAGGTAATCCGTCTGCTCTTTTGCCGACTAATTACATTAAAAAAAAATGGTCTGCATTTTTTTAATAGTAACGGATACATCTTTATGGCACATAGATCACAAAAAATATATTTTATATTTAAATGTGTCTGGTTCATACCGGATAATTATACTAATAGATAGGGGATAGAGGTTTTACTATTTCAGGTCAAGTACACAGTCAAAATTCAATAATATAAAAGTTTCACTGTAGACTGGCTAAAAATATCCTTACCTCAATTATTTCAGAGTCTACGAAATAGAACAATGGAAATCAACCCTCCAAGAACTCTTAGACCTCATAGAGAGGGAGATGAGTAGTCTAAAAGAAGAGAAGGCGTCTACTGAGCGGGAGTTAGAACAACTCAATATCCCTTTACTTGTATGCTCTGAATGTCTTTCCAACCGAGACGGGAGGCGCAGCACTGAACTTACTTACGATCTTGCTGATACGGAGTTGAAAAAGGTGAGAAAAACGTAATTAAGAATTTTGCGTATTCTTGAGGTTTTAAGTGTGCTTAGAGTTGTTCCAGTGGGGTGTATATGCGGATGGCTTAGGTATATTCGTAATCATTTATTTATTTATTTATTTATACACTATATTATTTATATACAAAAGAATGTACAGGCGGACTTAATGCCTTAGGCATTGTCTAACAGTCGACCTTCAGGTGGTGCAGAGATGAGAGTGGCAGGTGACAAAAGTATATATAACAAAATTTTATGACTATATAATAGATACATTACTTAGATAGTAGGTATATATATAAACATAATCATAATCATCATAATCATATGTATGTTATTCTATAAAATATAATTGGTTATTAATTCGCTAATTACATGTTTTTTTTTCTTTCACTTGCGTTGACCCTCTCTGTATCTCCTTAAGGTTCCACTGGCAGATAATTGTAAGCATTTCGCAACGTTTTAAATTTTGTGCAGATATTTAAGAAGTAAATAGCTATATGTCTAAATCACACATAGTGTAAGCAATAAAGCTTTTACTTTTCCTCATTAATGACAGTTGTTATAGTTGAACATTTTGTCATTGAATATGTTGTTGCATTTTTTTGTGTTTAAAAGGCGTCCTAATTTTGTATGCAGGCTTATTAGTGCGTATTTGCATTAACCAAACCCTTTCTCGTATTTTTATTGTTCCAACTAAAAAGTAAACAATTTCCCTCTGTCGACGAATAAGTATTGTACTCTAATTGCTGTTTACTTTAGTAAAATACAATAGGTACTGTTTGCCGATTGTCTAGTCCACTTGTCACCCCAATTAGCTCACAGCTGTGTGCTAGGCTTAACTAGTTACAATATATACTGTCCAGTTTGGACACAAAGGATTTTAGCTAACATTGCCATATTATAACTACCTATTACTGCAATGAAATTGGAATAACTATCAGCTACTTGAAAAAGTGCCGGCGGTTTAGTTCTTGCATGAAACAATGATTTTGGTGAGCCACAAATTGTGGTTTCAGGTATTTGTGACACACGTGTAAAAAAATCCTATTGTGGGGCCATTGTGATGTTGTTTCGTCGGCACGAAATAAACAGCAGAAATAAAATGTCAGCCGGGGTTGCGGGTCAAGTTCAATAATATACTGAAGTCCTGACCAGCGAGCAGGTGAAGGAACACGGTGGTTTGTAGTCAGTATAAGAACCTAACATTCAGTCATTAAGTAGACGATTTTCCCTCTGAAAAAGGTGTTAAAAATATAACAGTAAAGGCGTAATAAATTATAATATAATTAACATTTCTAGGAGCTCTGTGTAACGGAAAGTAACAAGAAAATGTTGATAGACAGATGCCAGTCCGCTTGGGAAAAAATCAACAAGTTGGAAGTGGTGAAATTCAAACTCCAATTAGATTTGAACGATAAGAATGAAGCTCTGCAGATTGATAAGGATATGCTTAATTTGGACAAGGATTGCGCCAATATTACGTACAAATCTGATTCTTTGAAGACACCGAAAAGGTAACATTGCTTTGACAATGTTTCTGATTGTATTGCTTTTTAAAATTGCAGTGTAGTTGAAGAAATAATTATCCCGTACTTATTCATCAATCCCTAAGCGAACGCCGGTGTTCGCATCGTTGCTTATGTTATTCCGTGTCTCGAATTACCACGATTAAAAAGGTTAAAAATCTTGGGCAAATAATCTAGAAGCAAATAGCCTCTTCTCGCTCTCTAATCGCCACGCTTGCTCAAGGCAGTTTGGCGATTACAAACTTAAAGTTAACTTATAGTCAACACGATGTTTTATTTAGCCGTTTCAATAGTCTAATCTTAGAAAGTACATGTATCAAGGAAATATCATATTACTTGTTAGGATTGGAACCTGGCCTGACCTTAACCACCACAAATGTCTGGCTTACGAATTAAGTAACGAGGAACGTCTAATACCTAACATAAACAACATTAAGTAGTTTCTCTAAAAACACACTGAAGACAAACTAAAACTAAATTAGAAAACATCCTTGTGGACCAACTACCTACCCACGAGGCAAAAACTTTAAACTTGGTACTTCTAAACAATTAAATTTGTTCAGAGTTATGATACCTCCGTCTACCGTGTTGCACCTGGGCCCCTGTTAAAAGGTTCCCACGATATTCTACTTCTCATTATTAAGACATGATATGAGCAGTTTCTTGGGCCTCGCCTCCTTGGAAAGTGTTTTAGAAAAATACGAGAGTGCTTTAGTTTAAAATTAGAAGTTATGTAAACTATAAGTAGGTTCAATTTTCAAAAGTGCAACAGTGACAATATGAGGTGAGGGATTCTCAGGACACTCATTGTTTAATTGACTTCGGTGTCAATTTTTTGTTTTTGTTTTTAGATGCTAGTCTTCAATAAAATTTATTAAGTTTTTCAAGTTTAGAATTTTAAACAGTGCGGCTGTTAGCGTGTGTGTCGGTAACTGTTATTATAACGAAAGTTTTACTACAAAGTTGTGAAGTAGGTGTGCAGAAAGTGCCTTTGTTTACTCTTTCCTTGAATGAAAAGCCTGAAAATATAGGAACATTTATGGAAGCTGTATCTACGGTACGGTTATAAACTTTCTACCTAACAAAATAATTCTTGCCTAAAGGGAATTTTAATAAAATACCGTGACGAATTCCAAGATAGGCATTCATAGTATTTGACAATTAGTACGAAATGGAAGGAAGCATTCCAAATCTATTGATAATGCCGGTAATTGGAGCAGATTAATTGCCGTAATGGACCGTAATCAACACCTTTTACCGCAATTATTTATTTAATAGCGCTCTACCTGATTTTCTTCCATTGAAGGTACAATTTGTAGGCAATACGGATTTGTTTCTCAATTGTTGATCTTCACTAAATTTATTGGTGGGATTAACTCCAAATTTGTACAGGTGGAAAATTTATTTCGACCAGTGTTTATCTACCATAATAGTTTTTTAAATAAACGCCTATTTTGTAGTAGGCTTTTTTGTGTAAGCTATCGTGGGGCATACTAAATTTATGAAAATGATTTACCTACTCACTCATGGTTTAACTAACCGAGAAAGTCTCTTCAGGCGTTCTCGACTAGCGTTTTGTCCCGTTGTGACTTGAAACTTTTTTTTAGCTTTTCACAGTCAATACACATAATTTGTTATTTAAAACTTTATTAAACGCAGCCTCCATTATTATGAGTTACATTAAGAATACTAAGACAATTTTACTGGTAAACACATCACAACAAATTCTCAATTATTTGCCGTACTTTCAAAATCTCTAAATTTTAAAGATTTTTTTGTCATGTTTTCACATTTCACAGAATGATTACCTACCAGCAATGGCTGGAAAAGTGCGAAGCAACGAAACAGATGGCTATACTTGAGCTTCAAGACACTCTTCGTCTCCGTGAGTCTCTGTTCGTCGCTCGTGGACGAGCCAGGAATGCTTTGAGAGCTCAAACTGACGTCACCAATTATATGCTGCGCCGACGCATCTACGATACGCAAAGAGCTAGGAATGAATTAGATTGGCAGAAAATGAAGGTATGTTTTAAAAAGTCAAAAAGTCAAAAATCATTTATTCCAAGTAGACCATTACAGGCACTTTTGAACGTCAAACAAAATTTTGTAGATATAGCGTCAGTCTGTCGGTCAGTCCTCTTAGTGAAGCTATTTGCTCGTTCCAAAGTGTAGATTCTGATGGAGAAGAACGAGCAAAAACTCCATGGTTACTCTTTTTAAATCAGTTTCACATACAGATTCCTTTTACAAACAGTTGGTTCAATTAGGTATGTGAGAACAGTGTAACACTAATATTTATTCAACATTTTGTGCTGGGCAAAAATAAATATACCCCAATGCCTTATCTAAATCCTACTATTTACTATTAACGCAAAAGGTTGTAAGCATGAATAGATGGATAAATATATGCTACTATTAGACAGATCGGAACGGAATAAAATTTTGCAAAGAAAGAGAATAGGTAGTCCGAAGAAACTAAAGTGCAAATACCACATACGTGGTAAATCAATTACCACAATTAACCTCGTTTATGTAGGTAGAAATCGCCCATCTATAGGCTTAAGATATTCAGATATTTATTTATTCTTCATGCAACATAAAATTACATAGGCGCACTTAATGCCATAGGCATTCTTACCAGTCAACCTTTTAGGGTGATGCAGAGAGAGCATGGTAGGTGCAACAAGAAAACTAGAAGCCGATAGAATGCAAAAGACGACTTAAATATATATTTATTAATAGATACAAGAATATATAGTAATATATAGATAGATATAATTATGGAATGTTGTTGTTAGACATGGAGTTGTATTTTTTAAAGCTGGTGATTAAAATTTTCGCTTCGTCTCTTCAATCGCAGTCTCAGAATTTTGTAAAAGTCGGTAATAACATTTAAGTTACTTTTTGCACTGTAAATTGAAATAAATTAAGTAGTAAAACAAACATTTTTGTACATAATCAAAGAGAAATAGGTTTGTAACTAAAGCCCGATTTCCGAAAGGCCGATCAATGTTAAAATCAATTTAATCTCTTGTCAAGTCATCTGATTGGTTGACTGAATTATCAACAACCAATCAGATAACTTGACAAAAGATTTAACAGGAGATTAGTTTTAGCGTTGACAAGTCTTTCAGAAACCGGGTGTAAGTATTTGACTTTGACATAATAGTTCGCCGGGTCACCTAGTAGATTTCATGCAAAATATTTTATCCTGATTAACCAAACCAAACAAAAACACTATCGCCCGCTTTATTAAAAGAACAAACTTTCATGAAACAAGGCTACGCAAGTACGTAACATATTCTGTCGTGAAAGTGCTATTGAGTACAGACATCAATTTCGGTCACCTAATTTGCCAACAATTACCAATATAGACACCTCACACACTTACAAACTTTATTCATATACAGTTACAACAGAAACAAAGTAAAAGTTTCCCAATCACGTTACGTGTGACATTAGGCTCGTACGGCAAATAAGATGAGAAGAAAGATTTTTCTAAGGTGAATCTAGAAATAGAATACTTATGTACTGTGACTGGGGGACCTGTAAAGAGGCTGATTATCAGTTCATTATAGCAGAGTATTTCACCTGTTATGTAATCCTACTTATGTTAATAAAGTAAGTAAGGATGGATGGCTAAATGGTTGGCACTACTTCACGTAAAAATAAATAAACGGATCTCACAGATATAGATTTGTAGTTTGTAATTAAACATTGGCTACTTTTTACGAGTTCGAAGCCGCTGGCAGAAGTTAGTAGTAGGTCATATTATAAGGCCTATTGTGCTAAATTTCAGATACAATTGAAAATATTTATGATTCCTAAAGAATATCAAAACAAACTTTAAATTATTAAAATAATAAAGCAGTAGTAGCTATTGACAAGGTAAACTGATAAAATCTATAATTTCATTATGAATCTAAAGGCTCTGTTAGCCCTCGGACCATAATTAAACTTGACCTTGGTTATCCTTGGAATTGCCACGTCCATAAATATTTTCGATCCGAATATTTGTTTCGGGGGAAAATTTAATTGATCACCCTTCATCGTTTCGACAGAGCAACTTAGATATACACGATGAACGTTATGTCCGAATTATTGTGGCCTATATTTAAATTTGGTAGAAAAATTAATAAAAAACGTTATTCTTCCATAGATGGAAGAAAACATGGACAAATTAGCGACTGAACTGAAAATAATGGGAGAACAATTTGCTGATAAAGTAAACGCATTGAAAGTGGCAGAAACACGATTGGAGACCCGTGGTTACCGTCCAGGGTTTGAATTAGCCGCTGATGAAGCCGATATTGGGCTGAAGGAAGAAGTCCGAAGTCTCAAAGAAACTATTCGACAGTTACAAGATAAATTGGATTGTGCTAAGTAAGTATGACGTAGATTTTCCTTGGCCTTTGTCTATAAAAATTGAAAGTTAGACCAAGAAAGTTCAGAAGTAAAGATGGTAATAGCAACAGAAATTGGTTTAGGGCTTCACGATGTTAGAATATAGGCTATGAACCAAATAAATCTGAATTTGTATTCACTATAAGCCACATAAGCTTATAGAAAACTGGCTATTCTGGCTAGCGCGGCTTTACTCGTTGCTCGGTTCCTATAGATCGAAGTGTGAAAATGAGAATGTTGAATCTATCTATCAGTGAAAATTATGAATATCTGACCAGCGGTTCTAAAGATTACCCCCTACATACAAACTTACAAATTTTACTTCTTTGTTTTATTAAGTAAGATGAGCGGAAAAATTCGAAACTTTCATTATATTTTTGGGTATATTCTTGTATATTGTGTATGAAGCTAACCATATTTATAATCTTCTATTTTAATTTTTACCAGAGCCACGTACAATGCTCTAGAAGCGGCTTCCATCAAAATAGCAATTGATTTGAATGACAAAAATCAATCTTTGGAGACTGACACTCGAGCTCTGGAAATGAGAGCATCTTTGGAACCAAAACGACCTACGGGCCTCAACAAGAATTTGATTCTTGCAAGTATGGCTGATGAAGTACCGAAGGTTGAAGGTTGAGCCTTGAAAATATAACAAAAATTAAGAAAAAGAAGTAGGAAAATTTTTGTAGTTGCATATTAACACGCTTTTACTTAGTCCACCTCTAAATGAAGTATAAAATGAAATAAATTAAATATAAGAATCTGAATTACCGCAATTATTGAATAATCAAGAAACTCTGCGATTATTTTAGGTTTAGATCGAGCTGATTTGATGATGGAGTTGAATTTGGGCCCATTATGTGCCCATATACCTAGCTAAAGCTTTTTTTCATTATAGTTCGTTCCATAATTAGAGACAACGATTTGACATTTCGAGTGTTGCAAGTTTTTTCCATTTCATAAATAGTGAAGTCCCGCGACCGGTATTGACCGAAAGACCGAAATTAAATTCTGGACTTCGTGCATTTTAAAAGCTTTATTATTTTTAGCTACTTTCATATATACTAACTCAGTCGGGTTAAAATCACAATGGTAAGGAGGCAACCGTAAAATACTGACCCACCTTTTAGCAGCCATCAGTCCACGACGTATGGTTCATAATTACTCTTCTCTTTCCGGGAAATCTCCAACAGCTCGGCTTTCAGCATAAGTTCCTCAAATATAATGTTTTTCTTTTAGGCAGTCTTGGATTTCGCATTTTTTATTTAAATTATTATTATTAATTCCACTAAACTATATATCACTCACTCAATATCACCGCAACGTTGTTTTATTTTGCTCAGGGTATTTTAAAAAAAACGGTATCGGTATTTTATTTAAAACATCGTACTCGGGCCCATCACTATGTTAAAAAATCTGGCCACATTATTTTGTAGTTTGACATTTGCTGTTGTCAAATTGTTGTCTCTAATTATGGAACGAACTATAGGAATTTATTTTTCTTAGATTTCTTTTCATAAATTTGACTTTGCTTTTAACTCTATAAACACTGCGTATTTGATTAACAACCGATATTCATCAACATTGCGAATTAATTGTTCAATTTAAACTTATCAATATCCATTTTACCCATACTTGTATGGCTTTTATCGAAAATTAATTTAATGATGTACAAATTATTTGTTTTCTAGCCATTTGCTTTGTAAAATTGGTTTGTATCTATTTAGTATTTACCGATATTATTAATACGAATTTAATTTACGATGTAATTTTATAGTCACGATTTATTATACTTAGAGAACTTTTTGTCGTTTAGTCAAAATAAAGATTTTAAAGCAATTTCCTTGTTTAATTGTTTACCTAAAGAAGTTTTCTTTCGTAAGATCACACTTGGTTTAATCATTAGCAATGTGGCCTATTAAGTCAAAAGCAAGCAATAATCAGCAAAGCTCACAAGTTTTAACAAAAATTAATAGTCTTCGATAACACTAACGTTGCTCTAAAATTGATTTATTTGAAAAGACTGAGTTTGAATTAAAGTACGAATTTAGGCAAAAGAGGGAGCTTTTAAAATATTTCTGCAGGAAAATTCCACTTTCTGGCCACCTTCGACGAAAACATTACATTGTTGTGCAATGAACTCAGAAAAAACATCAACAAGTTGAAATTAAGTTTTAAGCACCCGATAAAAGTAAATTAGCTCCTTCCGAACTTAACCGAAATGGGAAAATGAATCCATCAGATAATGACTGGTTCAGATTCTTTGCGCCCTTATTTTTTATACTGAAAAATTTGTTTACTCGCTAAAGTATTTTTAGACTGTAATTTACTTCCGATGAGGTTCATGATAGCGCATTATGGAGCTCGGAAGTAACCTCAAAATTGGAGACACGATGATCGATTCTCAAACAGTTTCAAGATAATGGTGTAAAGGTGCTTTGGAGGACAGCCAAATGTTCAACTTAGAAACTTATACAGGAACTGGAAAGATGAAACTATTTTATTGTTGTGCGATATGGTATTTTGTAAGAAAGTCCTGCAAAATTTAAAATAGTTTCGGTTGATAAAGTTCGATATAGATGGAAAATTTAAGACCTGTCCTTTTGTACCCTAGACAATGGTAAAATGTTTACCACCTTCTTATTATGGGAACTATTCTACTCACCCCCTAGCTGATGCAGGACACTAAGGGGGTCGGAGATTGCGTAAAGATCTCCGGCTATCGTTGGCGCAGTCCTAGGGACGCCGAGCAAGGGTAGCTCGCCGCCCGACCTGAACTAGACCCGAGCGTACGGCGCATAGCGTTCCGCGCGCGCCACAAAAAGCCAACAGCCGGGGTTGCGGGGTAAGCGCAATGAGGCACCGCGACCTCGGCACAGAGCAGGAGAAGGAACAGGGGGGTTTTTAGTCAGTAAGAGTCTGACACTCCCTCCCACCCGGCCCTGGGCGGGAGAAGTCATTTGATGATTTTCCCCTCACAAAAATAAACCACCACAATTGGAGTCTAATAACGGGTTTAATGTTTAACCTGAATTGCGGGTCAAGCGCAATCATGTACCGCAGCCTCGGCCTGGATCAAGAGTAGGAACGGGGTGACTATTAGTCGGTGTGAGTTTGACGCTTCCTTCCGCCGCATCCAGATACAGAAGGTTTTTGATGGTTTTCTCTTTTCTCTTTATGTAGAGTGGCTTTTTTAAGAAGCTTATCCAACATTCCAAGACACTTCCTTAATAGTTTTCGGGTCAGACAAAGTACGAGAACTTAACCCGTTTTGACCCATTCTAAGCTTGCCCTTATTAAGGGGAACTAAAACTAATGTCGTAACTGACAAAAAATGGTTTTTGTATATCTTTGATAAATATAAAAGGAAATACTGAACAATAAAAGATATTCAAACTTACAAGTGATCCTTAGCGCCACTGAACCACCGAAGTTCCAAACAATAGCGAACGCATTAACCAAATCTAATTGTTACATCCATATAGTTAATGGAAGTGTCCTGTAGGCACCCGACATGCCTTATTAGGTTCACTAGTACAGATTCTGTATAAAAGCACACGCAATATTATCAGTAGTCACATTCAACTTTCTACTTCTTTCCTTCGATAACACTTCCAGTACATCTATCAAGTGAGTATATCTATTGTTTCTTTTGTGTATTTGTATTTTGGTGCGTTTTTATAAACAATTTTGTGCTTAGAAAATGAATTTGTTTTGATTGTTTATTATTGTGTTTCTGCATGCATAAAAACAAATGGCAGGCACAGAATTGTAAAGCCCAATTTTCACGATGCAAGTTTCTCGCCAATGTCTGATTTTTCAGCGGTTAGATAAAAGTTATCTGAGAAATAATTATGATGCTGTCGCGTCAGAATGTTTGTATAAGACAGTGACAGCAACTATTTTATCCCTCAGATAACATTTATCTGACTATTTAAAAATCAGCCCCTAAAGTTCTAGAAATTAGGCAAGTCATAAGAGTTTTGCATTCATCTTGGCTATTCATTTTAAGACTCGAAGCCACTTAAAAATATGTATTTTACATACGCATTAACTTCCTTCATTAAATTTAAACGACCGGGGGAATAACCATATCTGATTTATATTTAAGAAGTTTTCCATTTGGTAGGAATAATACAAAAATACATCGTATCGTATAGTCGTCATCGCCCGATCAGTATTGCGGATATTTTGCATGTTTATGCTAAACACAAAATACAAAACAAAACTAGGCAGCAACCGCAGAATAAGCTAAAAATTATCACCCTAATCCCGTTTTGGACGTCATTCAACCAACTAGTATTATCTCGTAATGATTTCATATGCGGAAACATATTTTTTGTAGAAGTTTCGAACATTAGAGCATCAATCACGACATTTTGTATCCGGCAGGATTAAGTTATTATAATTTTAAGTTTAGGAAGTTGTATTAACAATAATTGAGATTTAAACCGATCGTGTGATAACAAGATCCGCTTCCTAAAAGGCGCGCTGTCGATTCAAAGGTAATTGTCATCTAGACTAATTCCATTGCTCCGTAGTTGAGTGCGAGGTAAAATCTCGCCTTATTTAAGAAGCTATGTAAATCTGGTAACGATATAATCGGTGCCTATCAGCTACTTAGTACACGAACCGTGTCTAGAGGTTATTTACATTTGACTTTTGTTCGTCGGCGCGGAAGTAAAATGCTTTTGTTCCAAAATGTTGGTTTATTCTGCAACGTCATATGTGACGAAAAAAGTTGATGCATTCAAAAAGTACCGGTTATTTTCCAAACTTGATATTTGTCCTCGAGTATTATCAGTAATGAATAAAACTCCATAAAAATCAATTTCAATTTTACACCTTCAATCTTGAAAATAACACAACAAATATAATTTTCTTTTTTCACTCAACAGTAACTCAACTAAATAACCTACGAACATCTACAAACAATCTATCACGTCACCAAATAAGATTTAACAATCGGAATTAATATAACAAGTCACCGTACAGTTATTGAATAGCCCCAAAAGTATCATCCATGTACAAACATTCTGGCGCCCCGGGCCACCTCCGAAGGCAAGCCACTTCGTTCAGACGCGACAGCTTGTTGTGGACACGACCGAAGCATAGATTTGTCGTGGTTAAACAATAATAAATATGACTGTAAAAGTAGATCATTTTTTAAATTTAGATTGTAAAATATTCAATTGATAAAAAAATATTTTTTATTTGCTTTCAAATTCATGAGACGTTAATTTAATTCGTTATACATACATATGTATATTTTATAGATAAAAAACGTGAGTGTAAACGTGTAGACAGTCGTCGAAATAGGAAAACGTGGCCATTCAGTTTACGCAACAATGATTCATACTTTCCTTGAAATAAATCTAGCAATAGTTTAGCTATCAATCGAAGATCCCACCTTGGGCCACTTAAGTGTTACATAAAACCCATACACGGATTTTCGTCGACCTTCACTGTTTCTTCTTTAAGAACAAATTGGCTTTTTATTTGTTTAAGACATTTTTATATATGCGGAAGAAATTATACACACATTCTGCAACCAGTTTAGATTGAATAAATACATATTTATGTTAATAGTTTTAAATCATAATGTCCCATTGTTCTTTGTTGTTAATTCATAAACCAGTTTCTAAACGTTCTAGCATTTACTTGACATATCGATGTTTTTTTATTTGTAAAGTATATATAATTAATCATCTGTCATCGTTCTAGACATTTTTATTGGTTCTAAATATAGAAAGTTTTATTACATCTGGCATTTCTGCAAGGCAATCTACAAATCAATTAAGAATAAAGAGTCAAACATTGTTAAATGTCATTTTTTCTGATAATGTTATTTTGTGTTATGAGTAAGATAATTCGAAATTTAAAACAACAAAAGCTTGAAACAACGAACATTTTGGTGTAACATGTCAAGTTCTTGACAACAAAAAAATATGTATTTTCTAACTTTCCGATTCTAAATAGATTATGACGCAATAACAATAAAAATTACACAAAAAAGTCTGAATTACTTGATCCATATTAACATCATCGTAGAGTCATCGACTTCCTACTTAGAACTTTCGTCTTTCGCAAAGGTACGGAGCAGATCCGTTTCCTGGGATATCCCTTATGCGCACCGCTCGCCCCACCCCACTTGCAACCATAGTTAAGTAGTTACATATTTAAACAAGTTCCATTTACAAGCGGTCGTTGGCCAGAAATTTCGGTTTAATACAATATAAATTTTGGTTGCTTATAAGTTTGTTTATCGTTGCGTTGCTATCGTCACGATGATATGAGCTTTGATAGTGTTGTGCCCTTAAGGTCCCAAATGACGAACTTTAAGTTTTTTGTGATTTGTGAATGAGGTGAGTTCGTGTCGCTTTCTTTATGGACTGTACCTATTTTGTGTAAAATGTAGAAGGTATATTTAAATTCGTAAGTACTTTCTATTTTTTACGTATTGTTTTTAATAAATAGAATAGGTTTAGGTAGGTATAGATCGGTTTACCTGAAATAAAATTTTTACAACAATATAAAAATAAGTAACAGTGGCACATCCAATCAGTTAATATATGAAAAAAAAGCTTACAACTAAGAAATAAGTACTTAATTACTTAGATACTGAAATATCAAAAAAAAAAAAATTTTATTAAATTTCAAAGGCTTTACTTACGCTTTAGTTTTATTAAAACACAATTAAATCTATAAAAATAATGCTGGGATGAATGAATGTATGTACCTAAACTTTACTGAATCTAATTTTAAGCGGAATGCAAAATAATATTCTTTTCATAGAAACTCGTTTCTTTTTTGTTTTTAGAAAGCGATTGAAGGCTTCTTTAAAGAGTAAACTGCTGGGTCTTTGCTAATGACAACTAAATTATTTAATTAAACTTCGATATCTACCTTCCTGTACCGTTATGAACCAGAAAAGTACTGTCCATTTTAGGCTGAAATCAATCCACCAATCTTAAGCCAAAATCTATGAAGCTATAGATTGGGTTATAACAGCACTGAATATAACACATTCATTGTTCTAATTAAAAAAATTGAATCGATATCGATTATTTATTTCGTCAGTTGTTAGAAGCACCTTCAAATGTTCAACCACAGTTGTAAATAAATTTATTTAGATATTTTTTATCGTGGTGGACGTTAAGGAGCCCGCTTCTTATGCATGAGGGTGCTGGTTCAAAAACTGGCAAGTACCATAGTACTTTCTATGATTATTTAGGCATCACTGATATACGGTGAAGGAAAACATCGCGAGGAAATTCTGGATTATAATTTATAATGTTTGAGATCGCTAATCCGCCTTGCGCGAGCGTGGTGATTAATACTCAAACCTTCTTCTTGTGAGAACAGGCCTTTACACAGCCGTGGGCACTTATAGACTGGTAATGTATGATGAAAATAATTGTAATGTTGATATTTTCCCCAGATCAAAATGGCCGGCAAGATCACCGCTGCATTCTTCGTCTTCGTAACCATCGCTTTTCTCGCAAACATCGGATTTGTCGTCGGTAATCCCGCGATCGGTAAGTGTAACATTTTCTCTAGTTTTTAAGATGGCTAACTCTAGTCTTTGACTACGGCAGTGGGGAAGATGTCATCCTACAATTCACGTGGTACCTACGTGTGAGACCCGATAATAACCTGATGAAATGATAAAAACCTCATTGGTTTATATCGTGATATGTAAGTAGTTAAGTTTTATTAGGCTACAAATTGAAACAAGGCAGTAGCGCCGAATAAACCTGAACCTTTTTTACTACAAACCTGTCTGCCAAACGTGGAGACAGTATTATGTATTTTTATTTTATACATATATAATATTATAAAGAGGTAAAATTTGAAAGTTTGTATGTAAGGGGTAATCTGTAGAACCTCTGGTCGGATTACCACAATTCTTTCACTTATAGATAGCTACAATGTCCCTGAGTGCTATAGGCAAACATCAAGCTACGATCAAATGGAGCTGAGTAACGGGTGAAGCCGCGCGAGAGTAGCTATTTTGTATATTTAGGTTCACCAACAACACAACATCAATATTTATAACTAATACATGTTGAAAATAATTAATAACAATGTATAGCAGTAGAAAAAAGTACAATTTAAAAATGAGGAGTAGGTAAGAATGTGTCACACGTGCTTCGGAACTAAATTCGACAGTTTTTCCTAATGGGAAATGTACATTATGGGTACAGATCAATCAAAATTTTATTAACCCTTCCACATTCTTTAGATTGAAGAATTTCAATCTTAATTAAACTTCTGAACAAATTAAAATAAATTGTTCAAAATCTCGATCTCGATCCTACGGAGAAGCATTCTAGAAATATCATTAGAATTAAGTCATCCGATTTTGATACATGATCACTACACACAATTACCAAAGTCTCAAGATTCAAAGAACTGTGGACCACTCATCTGGTTTTGGACTCTGGCATGCGTAACCCGTCAAAAGCGGCTATAGCTTTGACGTAAGCAAAATTAGGTATTCAAGTCAATACATAGTAAGACTCGCAAGTCTCGCAACCCTTTTTACGTTTGTGAAAAAAACGTCAATCTCCCTCACTTTGTCTCTACTAGTATATTTAGTATATATTTTTCCTCATATGTAATTTGTATGCGGGTAGTATTCTCACCATTCTAAATACGCAACTTGAAATATTTCGCAAGATCTACATTTTTGACTCGCCACGTGTTGTTCGGGTTTCTGCTGTTGCGTTCGGAAATATAAATAGATTTGCCGTTTTTTCCTTTTTCGTAAATATTATTTAATGAATATTCTCAGATTCAATACAATTTCATTAGTATCTAAAATGATCCAATTTCCACAGGACCACTAGTACCTTAAGCAGCATAAATGTGATTCTTAGAATTCTTAGATATTTTCCTAAACACACAGAGAGAATTCTTAATAGTATCGAGGATTTATAAAAGGCTTCTTTTTTAAATCTTGTAAAAAGAAGTCTGTATATTTATAAAATACTTCATATATTTAATAGTGTCGTGTGTATAATACAACTTAAAACAATAAAGCCGAAGTATTCGTTTAGGATTATCGTGATTTCGTGAACATCAACGCGAAAGGCCAAGAAAATAATCTTAAAAATATACCTGGTCTTTTAAGTTTTGGAACAAAAACCTCATTGATCCAGGTGTCTGGAGGCCGTTGGGTACAATTGCTTTTATATCGTGATATGTAATCGCTTTGTTAGGCTTTTTAGACAGAGCTGGATTTACGTAGAAGTTCTGTATACCTAAGGTCCCAAAATATAAGCAAGTACCCCGTAGGTACTACATCAAATACGACAACATTTGCAAAATTTTGCTACGGTCGTAACGCATGGAGCCTGAAATAGTGGCTTCCCTTCACATCTGATTAACGATCTCCCCCACCCCTCCAGGAATTAAAAGGCATAATGTTATGTTATATTTATAATTCCAATTTCGATTTTCCTTTTCATTTTAATCATAATTATATCTGAGCTAAATTACTATCGTCCTCTAGGCACTTGTAGTGCTCTAAATCTTAAGACCCCAAAAAAGAAAGTTTGAGTTCGCCCCAAATTTTTTTTGTCAGAAAACTATTAAATGACTTCTTGGCTATGATTTTGGCAAGATTGAGTGTTAGAGCTCTTACTGACTAAAAACCACTTCGTTCCTTCTCCTGATCCGAGTCAAATTGCGGTAAGTCATTGCGTTTGTACCTACAACCCTGGCTGGACATCAGCCCTAGGCAGCTCCAGTTCGCCCCTGCCAACCATTATACCGCAGTCGATTGAAGAAGTTCAATCTCTAGTATCACGATAAGACCAGTTTATATATTTTAACACTACACACGTGCTGGCTTTAAATTCATATTAAGGCCACACTCGACATTAAGACCAAACGTGACTGCCAAAGAATGTTTGGAATCATTGTCTTTGTTTGAATTATCTTAATTGAATCTTAGATTATCGTTACGTTCTAGAACAAGTGAAGTTCAAGCTTACTTGAAGATCTGCTTAGATGTTGACTTTAACGATCAGTGTTGGGCTATTTTAAATAGCGCTGATAATGAATTTGGTATATGATTTTGGAATTAAGTATATTATTATGAACTATAAATGGTCTATGGGCATTGGGTATCCTCTGTACCATCGGTTCATAATCACTATCAGGGGCTGTCTATGTAGATGTTGCAGTGCTTAGAGTCAAAGCGAAGTTATAAATGAATAAATAAATAAATTACAAATAAGGGGAAAAATCATCATTATATATTCTTCGTTAATGTTCACTATTTTCTCGTAAGTATGTGTATTTTAGGGTCTAGGCAATTTCAGTAGCTCTAAAGCCTAGGCGAAAATCTAAATGAAAGTCAAAACATACATTAATTAATAAACTTCCAAACTAAGTTTAATCAACGAAAAAATTTAAAAAGTTCTTAAGTTCTTGACATGCAGTCTACAAGCTACAATTAATGGCACCCACTTTAACAGAATTCGTAAACAACTTTGTTAGGAGAATTTTATCAGCGGTGTTGCAAACAAAAAGGTTCAAGTCTTTCGTCGTTAAAGGAAGGTCTTCTGGGCTATTTTTTTTAAAACACCTAGTTTATATTCTCATCTCATAAACAAGAGATGTATTCAGGGTCCGAGCGCGGTGAGACAATGACCCCAATCCGCAATTTGGACACCTCACTTTCGCTGAAGTTACGCAATTTCACCTTTACGGCTTACACTTGACCTCGTAACGACAATCATGTATTTAGACTCACTGTCATAACATGGATATTTTGTTAGAATCTTCGAAAATTTATTTTATTTATTTATTTATTAAAACTTTATGTAAAATAAAAGGCGGACTTAACACCCTAGGCATTGCTTTATGTATTTTTAAAAAGAATTATGATCATGACATCTAAAAGAAAAGAAAGACTGGCGATTAATAAGGCATAGAGGGCCTACCACGAGAAAGAGGAATGGAGCTATACACTTTTTATAGCTCCATCCCTCTTTCTCGCCCGGAAGATTCACGCTTTAATACGTCATGGTAGGCTTACTCATATGTAATCAAAGAATACTACTAATACTATAATAAACTTCAAAAAAAATTGGTTGTTGATTTCTGTTGTTGTGTCTTTGGAATCCACGATGGCGTGTTTATAATGATTACACTTTTTTCTTTAATCTGAATATCTTTAAGAACTAATGTGTTATATACCAATTGAAGTTTCAAATTTAAGTTCGAAGTCACGAGTGTCATGAGCGATGACATGAGTAATTATCCAGAGTTTTTTTATAGGTAACAAAATTAGAATCATTATAATAAAAATGTCAGAGAATATAATGGGTCTATTCAAAAATGTCTCTAAAAGACACAGACTGGTTATTAATGAAAAGCCAGCGAGCCAGAGGTGCAATAGAACCGCTGACACAATAACCCTTGCTGACGAAAATGGAGAGTAAAATTTTACTATATTGTGTAAGTAGGTGCTTAGGTATCAGAGAACCTACTTCGTTAGAACAATGTTCGGATGCTCCCAAAGGAGGAGTCGCCCTCTACGCAGAACACGTTGCACCACTCAAACAGAATTTCAAATTCAAATCCCATTTAGAAAGTTCCATAAGTCCATTGGGACAGCCCACCGTTTCATTTTCTCACATTTGTCGCCAACTAAGTGCGAAATGTATTAAAGAATCCCACGTGCCCCTTTCAGATTAATATTAAATTGGAAGGTCGTTTTAGCTGTTAACTTTTGCAGGTCAAGGGGTCTTTGGAACCAAGGTCTTATTTTAAGGGGTTTATGTTGCTGTTTAATGAAAAAATCAAACAGCATTTTGTACGCGTTTATGACGCTTATAGGACACAAAACAGACAAGTGAATAAAAAAGCATGGTATGTCAATAAACCTAAATATAAGGTAAGACAATCGCTCAGCATATGCAGCTACCCTATGTGAGATATGATTTTCAGCGATGGTCGGCACTGTCTTGTGACTCCAATCGACGTTTACACAGAATTTTATTTAAAAAGTGAATCATCTGGTGTTTTTGTAAATTCAGAAATAGTTACGTTGTTGAGTAGCTACTAGACAACACGAGATGAATGAGCGCTGGCAACCCCTTTTTCTCAGACATATTAAAAGCATAGAAACTTTAAGTAATACGTAACTCATACTTCGATATTACCGATCTTTTTTGTGTTCATGATGAAGAAAGATCTCCGAAAATTACACATGCCGCACGACCTTTCGACATGTGCCATTTTTCTACACCTTTTCACAGGAAATTCCTTATTAAATGTTCGGCGATGCAAATATTTGTATATTTTCCCACTGTATAAATTCTTTAAATAAACCTGCCATCTCGTTTTCTTCCATTTACTTATACAAACAACATTCATATTATTTATTGAAGATTCATAGATACATCTATTACAAGACCAGCAGGTGATAATTGGCGAAGAATTTTTTCAGAACCTATCGATTGAAAATCGAATAGCCAAGTTACCTACTTACTGCTCGAAATCGGTTCGGGCCAAGGATCGAAACGAGCGACAGTCGATTGAATCACAAACCTAGAAAATCAACTTTTTTATAATCCTATCCTGAGCCTAACTAATTAGAGCAGTTAGAGTAGTGAAATGTTTCACTCACGTTATTTCATGGGTTGATTACAAAGCGTCGGCCGCACATGATGATAATCCCGGTTATAGTTCGAAACACGTCGACCACTGAGAGGGTGTATGGTGTAATTTACATCTTCTTTATTATGAAATATTTTTCAACTGGGGTTGCGGGGCAAGCGCAATAGGATACCGCAGCCTCGGCATAGAGTCGGAGAGGGAACTGAGGTTTTTGGTCATCAAGAATCTGACACTTGCATTACCATGGTCGAGAGAAGTCGATGATTTTACCCTCGCAACAAAAATGATGAAATATATATATTAAAATCTGTATTAATTTTGTCCTAGCTACTGGCTACGATCCCTTGGAGGTTTGCATCGAGAACTGCGCACAATGTAAGAAGATGCTGGGCGCGTGGTTCGAAGGTCCTCTCTGCGCTGAATCCTGCATCACCTTCAAAGGAAAACTGATCCCCGAGTGCGAAAACTTCGCCTCAATCTCACCTTTCCTTAACAAACTTTAATTGTCTATAATGAACCATATGGATTTATTGATGAATCGGGTATCGCTGTGAAATGAAACTATACATTTTTTTTTATCAAAATCGGTTCAATGAAATTTTCGTCGCAGTTAAAGTATTACTTTTTGCGTTTGTTTGTAATTCATTGAGAATGTCTCTTTCTATCGTAGATCATCACCGATTTTGAGTTTTTTATTAGAAAGCTTTACTTTAAATGTCCTACCTAGACTAACTTTACTTTTGTTATGCCTACTTTTGGTAGAAGTTTATTTTAAAGGCTACTGCTAAACTAATGTACTTAATTCCATAACGGTACTCGATTGACGTAAAGTCCATTATTTAGAAAAAATATTCCAACCGACGACATGCCAAAGTATTTGATACTCTATGTAATTAGCTTTAAGTCGATATTTGTAAGTTTTATACTCGTTTTATATTACAGGGATTAATATAAGATAAATATTGAAAAATAAAAGAATTCTTTTAAAAACGTTGATCTTTTATTTGTTCATCATTTATAATTTTATTTACAAAAAATATTGGTATATATTATTACAACCATATTAATCATTACTGAATTATAATATTACTTTATTTCCTTCAAACAGTTTAGAATATTTTATTTTACAATGAATTGGTATCAGAAGTACAACTTATTGATAAATTTATAAGATTTTTTCGTATATAGTATACAATATTTTTTCTATGTGAAGTAATTCACACACACAATTCCGAATTATTGCTTAAAGTTAGATTAAGGTAACGGCACCTATCATGGACGCGGACCAGCCATGGACATTTTTTGAATTTACCTCCAAAATTAAGCTAATGTGAAATATTTTTTTTTCAAATAACAACACTGATCAGTAGTGCCAATATTCTAAATGTCATAACAACTGTTTTTGACAGCCGGCAGCCATTTTGATTGTGGCCATATCGATTGTTAGTTTTGGGGTGTCATTTGGTGTCGGTAATCGTAATTTATTAGAAGGATCGCAATGCAAGTAAGTTCACTAAACTTTTATTTTGTCTTAGATGTACTGTCGTTGTTAAAAATCATTTTATTTAGTGATTTATCAATAGTAATACATTACTCTTATATTATAACCTTAATGCCATAGGTATTCTAATCATAAAATTTTCCGGTGTCCATAACTGGATATTATCCACGCACGTACACTCAATCATGGACAGAGTGTCCATAAAGTGAACTTCTTTATTTGTATTGTTTTTCATGTACTTATTCTACTATATTTTCATGTTTCTCTAGAAGTCTGCAATAAATTATTAGTCTATCCAATAATGAACATTCTGTCCATGACTAGGTGTCGATATAGGTTTAACGTAATTGTTAATACAAATAAATTTATTTTTATCCTAGAAATGGCACCAAGAAAAGACTACACAACAGAACAAATGGCCGAGGCTATCGAAGAAGTAAGAAAAGGAGAAAAAATATCTGTTGCAGCTACAAGATATGGTGTCCCAAAGATTACTTTGCATAATAAAATCACCGGAAAAAGCCCTGTTGATTGTAATCTTGGTCCAGCTACTGTACTTTCACATGAGGAAGAAAATATACTAGTAAGATGGGTATGCTTTATGGCTGAAAAACATTTCCCTGTGCCCAAAGAGCAATTGCTTGATAGTGTCCAGAAAATAATATCTGAGAAAAATTTAGATTCCTGTCCGTTCACAAACAATCGGCCAGGAAAAAAGTGGTACTCTTTGTTTTTAAAAAGGCACCCAGTTCTCTCTGAACGCACAGCGCAGAATTTAAGCAAAGCGAGAGAAGAGGTCACAGAAGATGACATACTCCGTTGGTTTGATGTAATAAAAAGTTTCGTCAGGAGACGAGAAAGAAAATTTAACTGTGTTGGTTACTGGGAACGCTGCTGGAGTTTTAGCTCCACCAATGATAGTATACCCCTATGAGCGTTTACCTGCCGTAATTGCTAATAGCGTACCAAAAGATTGGTGCATAGGCAGGTCAGATACAGGCTGGATGTGTGCAAGAACTTTTTATGAATACATCACTAATGTATTCAATCCATGGATTGAAAAAAATAATATACTATTATTCTTGGATGGTCATAGATCACACATGACCCTGCATTAATCAGATTTTTGTAAAGCTAATGATATTGAAGTTATCTCTCTATATCCTAACTCGACACATCTACTTCAGCCATTGGATGTTGCGGTGTTCAGGCCTTTAAAGGTATCGTGGCAGAATCAAGTGAAAAGTTGGAAAATCGATAATCCAAAACAAACAATGAAAAGAGAGCATTTTGCTCCAAACTTTGAGGCAGCTTTGCGAAACATTGCCACTGATACAATAAGAAACGGATTTCGAAAAAGTGGGCTTTTCCCCTTTGGTCCAGAATACGTCGATATGAACAAAATAAGTTCACACAATCGTGCTACAGATTCCACATCAGCATTAGAAAAAAAATTTGACACGACAAAACAGTTTATGAATATCTTGGAATCAGAAATAAGAAGCTTGTTCACAAATGAAAAATTGAAGTTATTCACCAGGCTGTACTATATGCCCAGAGCTAACGTTGAGGGCCAGCTTCCAAATGAAGATCTGTCGTTATATATCATCTGGGCTAAAACTAAAGACTATTTAGATGAAAATTTACCCCAGAAAGTTGCCGCAACTATCACGGAGCAAGTCTCGCATTCTTCAGAGCCTGAACATGTAACAGAATCCGAATCATTGCCACCACAAACACCTGAGGCATTGGTGGCCGACAATTCAATTTCTACTTTACCTGAACATGTATTGGACGTCTCTGACCACATCTCTGACAAACCATTAATTACAATAAATATACAGGGAAGGTACTTTGGACCAAGTACGTCACAAGTTTGTACAGACACGAATGCTTCTGATAGTGGCAATCCAGATTTACAAGAAGAGGACATCGGAAGACCTGAATCCGTTCTAGAATTATCGAAAACGGTTTCCAAAGATATTGCCCAGCAAGCCATGCGTACTACTCCAAACAAAGTTTTCACTCCTGAAACAAATGACACTATAGCACAATCCTTGTCTTCCAGTTCCCAAAATATAATAGAGGAAAATATTGAACCTGTTACCGAATCAACGAAAACAATATCAAAAGACATTGCCTGCTCTGCAATATATAGTACTCCTAATAAAGTTCAGAATTCTGAATTAAATAACACTATATCCAAGCCTATGCCTTCAAAGCCACAAAATGTAATGGATGAAAATATTCCATCGCCATTTAAGCGTGCTTTATTTTGGCCAGAACCAGAAATGAAAAAAAGGCGTAGTAAGGAATGTCTTCCTTCGGCAATCACTGGTGAGACTTGGAGAGCGTATATGATTAAAAAAAGAAAATGAAAAGAAACAGAAGGAAGAAGAGAAAAACAAAAGAATGAAAGAAAGACAAGAAAAACAACTAATAAAAAAGAAGACATCTGAAGAACGAGAGAAAGTTAAAAATAAAAAGAAAATAACAAAAACTGTAAGTAACAAAAGAAAGAGATTTGAATCATCTAGTTCATCAGCAGAAGAAAATGATATACCCTATCAAGAAAGTGACCAAGATTTAGAGTTGTCTGAAGACGACCAGATAAACTGGCCAAAACACACTACTGAATCACTAGAGTCAGATGAAAATATTCCTCTAAAAGACCTATCCTTGCAGTCACTAAAGAAAAATACATATGTTATAATTAAATACGAAGGAGAATACTTTCCCGGGTTGATTAAAAATATTGATAACAATACTTACGAAATAAGTACAATGGTTCTATCAAGAGGAAATATATTTCGGTGGCCCGACACTCCAGATCAAATTTGGTATAATAGGGAAGCTATAATGGAAAAAATTCAAAAGCCTAAAACTATCAACAATAGGGGCTTTTTTTAAGTACCTGAAATGGAAAAATATTTACCATTTATATGTTAAGTTTTCAATTGCAATACATTCTTATTTATTATAGTAAGAAGATGTTACTTTTTGGGAGGTTTTATAACTATATATTATTTGTTACAATATTTTTAGACAGATATTTATCAATAGATAAATCTCTGTGAAAACTCAGAGAAGACATAGATCTCCGATGAATAAGAATGTTTTGAATTTGTAATTTCTATTTTTAACCTTTAAAAAGGTTTATTTCAACTTATTTGTGTAAGAAGACAACGTTAGATTGTTCATAATGCAATATAACGTGATTTTTGTGAAATAATAGTAGTGAAAGACATTTTAGTTCGAGTCTTATTATGTCCTAATTGTTTTTGATTAATGATTGTGCGAAGATGTTTTATTTTGTTTAAAGTTGGTTTAAGACGAAATGATGATTTTTATAACGGTTTTCTAATGTTGACTACAAATCGAAGACTGATATTGATAATAATGTTCGATTATTTTTATTCAAATAACTTTTTATAGCGGTTTTCTATTGTTGTTGTTTGATATTGTTAGTAATGTTCGATTATTTTTATTTTTTATTATTAATAACATAGTTGGCCGGATTGCTTAAAGAGAAGCATTTCGTTAATAACGAATACTTTTGTCTTTTACTTGATTACTTATTTGTATTTCGATAACTACCTAGTTGTTCAAACTACTATTCTACTGTTGTTGTATTACCTACTGTCCATTAATGGATGTTCATAATTAGATTATGTCAATAATTGGGTGTCCTACACTGGATTATTACTGTCCATTGCTGGTGTTTAAGTAGGGGTGTTGTTTTTTTTGTAATATTTTATTGTACTGAGTATTAAACGGAAATTAAACATTGAATACTGATTAAAAAAAGAGCTTTTCAGTTACCTCCAAATTCCAAAGAATATCTAATGTAAAATAAAAAAAACTACGAAGCGAAAACGAAAAAAAATTGCTTATACTGTCCATGATTGGTGACTTTACAAACATTGCCAATAAAACGTATTTAATACAAATGTATCACTTTTAAACTTAAATAATATAATTCTTTGATTGCGGTTCCAATTAACTTGACCACGCAAAGCGCAGACTAGCCGTATTGAGCCGCGAGATTCACCAATCACATATGACTTGAAATCCAAATCTCTTTTTTAATGGTGTAGGTCGGCAAACGAGCAGACGCATTACCTGATGGTAAGCAATCAGCGCCGCTCATGGACAACCGCAACACCAAAGGAGTTACAAGTGCGTTGTCGGCCTTTTAGAGATAACGGTTTAGGTTATTTATGGATCGGGAGGGGAAGGGGTAAGGGGGAAGGATATCCCTCACTTAAAAATATTCATTAACTACCTTCCGCCTGCGGCTTCGCCCGCGTGCTTTGTCGATAAAAAGCCTATAGCAATAGAACAAAATCGAGGTATACTTACATGAAATTTGGCATTAATGCCAAATTTTCGCGTCTCATTTTTATGGTTACATCTCCAATGGGTTAAACTAATAACACTATTACTTACTAAGTCTCCGCTATCCGTCCGTCCATAGATAGAATGGTACGGACCTAACTAATAGGTAAGCACTGAATTATAAATATTTCATAAAACCTGATAGTTGTTCAGAAAAAATATTTCATGTACAGAATTGACCTCTCTACAGATTTATTATTATAAGTATAGATAGATATAGATTAAGTGTGAGAGCCATGCTTCTGCCACGAATGGGCCGGCTCGACCGGAGTCCTGTCGTTGCCATACAGAAAACCGGCGTGGAGGAATACTGACGTGGTGTTTTATCGCGTGAGAGGGGTTACCAAAGGTCCTCCTCCTCCCTCCTCAAATCCCCTAACAACCCATAAGAGGCCGGCAACTACTTATTCCTTTAGTATTGCGAGTGTCCATTGGGGCTCAAGAGGTAATCCGAACTATAATATAAAAAAAAATAGATGTGGATTTTAAGCCGTGTGATTGGTGAATCGCGGTTGGCCCGCGTGATTCAAAAGGAGTAACAACGGAGTTATTCTCCATAGGAAACTGCAGTTTGAAAGAAGCAAATAGCTTCACTAGTGGGCAGACCGACAGAGACACAAACAAAGTCAAACTTTTTAATATATTTTTTTTTATTATTACAAGTGTCTATAGTGGTCTACTTAAAACGAATGATTTGATTTTTACCTTGCGGTATAGCTCATCTCCGTTCTGGTCCGCTACGCCTCAGTAGAACCGCAGTCTTATAGCTCTATCGTTAAGAAAATTAGAGTCATAATAAATATAAAAATAAACTATAATGTTAAACAATTTAAAATTGAGATTATGACTCAATATTTTCTTAGTATCACTTATTAAACTTATCACTACAAATACAGGGTGTAAGGGACAGCCCTCCACAAATTAACAGGGTGCATTCAGCTCCTTATTCTGAATCATATTCCAGTGAAAATTCTTTCAGGAAAATTTTCAATTTTTTTTTCGTTTTTTCAGTTCCTACACCTCTATTTCAATGTATAATTACATTCTATGTATGAAGAATAACATTAATGTAAATAACACAGCTAAAACAAAAAAATACGCAATGGTTGTGTGAATTCTCTAAAGAACTACGCATGAAATCAGCTGTTCAATTTCTACCTAGCGCGAGTCGTTTGAACTCACCGCACCGCGGTCACGGCGCATCGGCTCGGCGCCCCACCGCGCCGATCGCCGCGCCGCGCGCCGTAGGTATAATACCTACGATCCCGTCCAACGTACAGAATAGCTGCGTCCCTTTCTATCGCCCCGCCTCCGCGTCTCCCCGTCTCCCCGATTCTTTGCACAATGTTTGCCCGATTGAACCAGTGTTGCCAATTTTTAACTTTTGTTACCTCAGGTAGTAAACGAAAATGTTAGAACTAGCGAAATTTATCTAAAACTTGAGAACTCCTTTGCATTCATAATTACGTTGATGAGATTTTCATTAATCAATCAATGAAAATCTTGTCGCGCTCATAAATTGAATAAGAAATAAATAAAGATTAGTCTAGTTTTAATTTTAAAGCATTTACAAATACTACCTAATTTATTAATTGATTGTTCTTTTTAAGCGATTACTGGCTAGTTTTTAAACTACTTACAGATTTTTACATGGCTTCACAATAGCCATGAATTGATAGTCGAGCCAGAAATTAAACACAATCTCCCTCGAATGGAAGCACAGCTTTCTATCACACTGCACTTTTATTATTCTAAATTAACTAAACAATGAAATTAGAATTAAATTGATTTAATCAATTCATTTCTCTACAAAAAATAACAGAATGATAAATTACGACCATGCATAATTTTTTATTTTTTACCCCGAAATTTTGTAATTTTCGTGTAATTGGCAACAACAGATTTATGTCTGTGTGTGTCTCATCACATGCAGTCGCCATTGTGCCTTGTTGCGATGTTATTGTTTGTGTACCGCGAGCGTGTATCGGCACGGATCGCTCGCGCATTCGGCTTAAAAGTTTTGTTATAAGTAGTGTTGTTAAGTTTTATTAGTTATGTAGTGTGTGAAGTGTAGTGAAGTTTTGTTGTAGAAATTGTGCGAAATTACTATCTAGGTACGTTTAGCGCGCGTGATTATGGGGAGATGATAATGTGTTGTAGTAGTGTAGGTATCCTGACCGTCGCCATCCATCAGACTCCAGGATAATTACTGGTGACTATCAACGCTTGCTAGAAAACCAGCCCATTGTTCCCAGACAAAAAGGCGCCGGAAGACCAATACCTACGTGGATTTTGGAATTGGTTCGCTAACGTAACGAGACGCTACCACTTATTAGTGCTTTCCTATTTAAACGTAGTTTAGGTAGGTTTGGACCGCAACCGTGGCCAGCACGATCCCCAGACCTAACCCATTTGGACCCCTTTTTGTGGCGTTACGTAAAAGAAAAAGTGTTTGTGAGTGCGTGTGCAAGTAAGTACGAAATGCGAAACCGCATCACAAATGCTTTCCAGAGCCGGAAACCGGAGCGATTCTAAGGTACCTACGCATTTTTCTTTTTTTATCATTTATCAGTTACCATGTTATGATTGTTAGATTTTCTTTTGTAAGTAATGCAGCTATCTTTTAAATAATAAATAATTTATTGTTATTAAAACGTGGCGCGAGCGCGATTATTACATTGTCTTTTGTAAGTAATGCGGCTATCTTTTAAATAATAATTTATTGTTATTAAACGTGGCGGGAGCGCGACCGTTTGTCTGAACGTAAGGTCGCGGCGCTGCCCATAGTGTAAAGTAATAATACTAAAAGCGCTGCCGTTCGCTGCGTGCGTTTGCGGTGGTAGCGATACATTGCGTGTAAGGTAATGAAACAAATCGGTTTAATTGGATTCCCATAAGGTTCCTGAAATAATTTCATGTACCGGTCAACTTAAGACGATATACTGAATCCACCCTATCAGTTTGCGGAAGGCTGTCCCTTACACCCTGTATATTTAAAATGATATTATGTAATATTGTTCACTTGCACGTCCATCTCAGTTAGTAATCGCTATTACTAGCATTGTAAAACGATGGTCAGTTGACTGGTACTTCTAGAGGCTGGGACGCGCCCTCTGTTGGCACTTCTTGGGAAGTTTCTTGAGGTGCTAAAAAGAAAAGAGTTAAGTTATATTTGTAACTGAATGTTATTGAGAGTTGATATGGGATTTTCGCCGAGTCCAGATCACCGTTGGGTATTAATCAAGACAAAAGTTCTTTGAGAGCTTAAGGTCGACATTTGCTTGTAAGGTTTTGTATTATGTTTTATGACACGACTAGACGCGCTGTTCAAAAATGAAAACAACTTTTTCGTTAGTATTTGACTTGGCAGTAAAATAGTACAAATTACGAGCGGCTGTTTTTCGGAGCCCATTAATTGAGTTTGCCAGTCACACCCTGCCTATTTGTCCATAGATATAAATATTGTTCAAAGGCAGGAGTACTTCCATATCAGATCTATCAATCCATAGCCACACACACCCATAATCAGACAATTTTCTACCATATTTTACAATAGTACTATATCAACCAGGCACTGCCCTTGGGTGCACTTCCATAATGCATAAAGCATAAAGGGACATTAGCTGGCTGATTTGCTATCACATTTAAATTAAAATTGTTCAAGGGGCCTTTGCTTTGAGTTTGCTTCAGACTCTCGTACGTCTTCCAAACGCCCTGTGGCCTTAAGAATGGAAACGAATTACACTATCATTAGATTATTTAACACATTCAGTGCCACCGACTCGCCAAGATAGTACATGTAAATTTTATTCCAGCTCCATGGACTCTCCCGGCGAGTTCAACGTAAAATGTAGGCGACACCGAGCTGTCATTGTGAAAATCGTAGTGGTAATGAAAGCGTTAACGACATAAGTACTTAATATTCGTATTTTCTTAAATATTTATCTATTCACACTTTCAATACTTACTTTCTGTAGGTGTAGCTGCTAATTCTCCGGGGACATCCATTGGCTCTGCTGTTGACGGAACTTCTGAAGGCAACTAGAAGTGTAAATAAATAATGTATTAGACTTTGTTTACTAGTCTAAGCAGTTACTGGCCGGTCGTGTGTACAGTTGACAAACTAAAGTTCTTTGTCTGATCCATCTATACTAATATTATAAAGAGGTAAAATTTGTAAGTTTGTATGTAGGGGGTAATCTTTGGAACCGCTGGTCGGTTTGTCAAAATTTTTTAACTGATAGATAGCTACAATGTTTCGGACTGCTATCGGCTATAAAACATCACGCCGTGATTAAATGGAGCCGAGCAGCGGGTGGAACCGCGCGAAATTAGCTAGTAATTAATGGGACAGGAATAAAATAAAGTCTTATCAAACCATTTTAAATTGAGATTTCCCCTTAGTTACATAAATAAACAAAAGCTTGACTTCAACTAAGATATTACAAGAATACTGTTAGAGCCATGCAGGCTGTTTTTTTTTATTAAAAAATACATCGCAGTCAACTTACCTCTGGAGCTATTCTCATAATCTTGCCAACCTTGTGTCTCACACTGAATGGTGCGCACGCCTCGTAGTAGTTGATAACAAACTCTGGGTAGGCTTCACCCAAATCATGACCCAGTACCACATCGAAATCTGTACAGCCGTGCCTGTCAACATTTTAAAGGATTGTATTAGTACAATAAAGTTAAATATTTTTTTTATTCCGGCTTTAGGCTGAGTGCATAATACGGTAGTTCCAACTAGTCAAATTCAATACTTTTATCCAAACGTCAAAAACGATACTTTTCTATGAAATTTGTATGAAAAACTGAGCTATGACGTCATAACATTTTTGCGTCAAATAGCTTACTTATTTCACAATAATTAGCTAAAAAAATCTAAATCTTGGTGTATCGATCGATTGATGAATAAAAGTATAGTTAATTTTCAATGTTTTATTGTATTGAAACATCTAATTAATTTATTTTTGACCTAGGAAACTACCCAATTATATGTATGTGTATAAGCTGAGAAGTTTAAATTAATTATGGGTTTCTTACCATTTGACCAAAAAGTACAATGTCCCATGGAACAGTTGTCCAGCTAGAATTTTCTCTGGCACAAGACCGCGCGCAAGACCCCGTGGCTTCTCAATCTCTTGTATAACCTGTAAAAAAGTTATACAAATTCTTTTACTAAGTCAAAATTTGTGTCACCCCAACTAACACAGGAAATTATGAACAGACTAATTGTAAAGTTTTGGTATATTGTTGTTAGTTGTTGCTCAATTCATTGTATTTTCCATGATGTCATTGCTTTAAAATATTATCTTACATTTACAAATTTATATCACTATGCATTCAAACACAATGTAAAAAATATTCAAAAATAAATTTTGAATTGAAAAAAAGATTCTGGCATGGGACAAAACTTTGTGTGATCCACAAATTGTTGTTCCTGTTCTGGGTGGTTTGTTCATGTGAATTTGTAAACTCACTTACGGCACAGGAGAAAATCTTAGAAAAAGACAAAGAAAAAAAAAATTAGGTACATTTAGAGTACCTAACTCAGATTTTTTTTTTTCTGAGACCTCTTATAACTGGCCCTACTGCCCATTTCCAGCTTGACATTAAATTGTGTCTAGCATGATTTTTACAACTTATCAATGTTGATTATTATTATTTTTTTAGGAGGCAAAAGAGCAGACTGGCACCTGCAACACCAGAGGAGTCACAGGTGCGTTGCCGGCCTTTTAAGAAGGAGTATGCTCGTTTCTTGAAGGTTTGAAGGTCGTATCGGTTCGGGAATACCGCCGCCAGATGATTATGGGGCCCAACGGGAAGAATAGACAAACTGGATAAAATGAATATTCTAAATATTACCTCATTCTTCTTTTTCTTATCTGCTCTTCTACTTCTCTTACGGCTAGCCAAGTTCTCTTCTATAGGGTCTGGAGTTGGGACTGGGGCCGCGGCCGCAGCCGCCGCCGCCGCTGCTGCAGCAGCTGCAGCGGCCGCAGCAGCGGCGGCAGCTTCCTTTTCTCTCTTCATACGAGCCTCTTCATAAGCAGATATGAGTTCAGGGCAGTCTAAATTGTCCTCAGGCTCCCATGTGTTGTCATCACTGAAAAAACGAAAATTCACATATTACAATTGGATGTTTTCATTCATATCTCAGTCACTGAAAGTTCTGATGATATAGCCTACTGTAGTCAGGTACCAATGCAGTCTTGTGAGTTTTGAAAGTTCTCATTTAAGTTTATATTTGTGCATAGCACTAAAATACCTGTCTACAAACTCTGTTAACAAAATTATGTTTGTACATAACAAAAAATTGTGATAAAATTTTGTAAGTATTTCTTATAATTAACTTACATGATTGTTAATTTTTATTCACAGGACAACAGGGTACCAGTACTTTAGAGGGGGTATGAAAGGATTAAGCTCACTTACAGAGACTCTTTGGACAATTTTTAGAAGCATAAAATCCCAGGTTTTTTCTTGCCATAAATGTTAGTCTCACAGTCTCACTAACCTGCTGAGGCAATAAAATGTAACTTACTCAGAATAACCCTTCCACTTGAGCAAGTATTCCACTTTGCCATTCTTCATCCTACGATCCAGGACCTTCTCAACAGAAAACTCCTCGTGTCTGCCGGCTTGAGGACCAGATGATGGAGTCATAGCTGCTGGTGCAGTTTCCATCGGCTGAGCGGGTTGTGGGTCAGGGAATCCCAGATCAGGTTGAGCGAGGGATTCCATTGATTCGTCCATTCTGAAATAACAAAAAAAAAATGACTATTGGTACGACAAAAATTGTAACTATGATGGTAATCATAAGCTATTGCAAACAAAAAGCTATCTATTAAATACACGACCATTTTCACACAGATTTTTGCAAAGCGTCGCCTTGTTTTTGTTATTGTACCTAAGCCGGGCGCTTGCTTTCAGTAAATTCGGTGACGTATCGAATTATTTTGATTATGTCTCTAGTTAACGCTAAAACATTATGTTTATGTACAACTAAAAAGTACTCACTTTTTCTTACTTATGAATGTTGATGAAAATATCAAAATTTCAAAACACTTCACAATTGAAATTACAGAAAATAAGATGGAAGGACAATACAAAAGTGACAGAATGACATTTAGGTAAGCAAAATTTGACAATTCATATCTCTATCCCTTTTATACATTATCTTTTGTTTTGCTCTATGTCGCACCTACTACCTGATCTGGAACGTTTTTATGCAAATGTGACCAACGTGACAAAAAGTTTTTTAATATAATATTTAATTGTCACAAAAATAATTTGCTGTTGTATTTTTATTTCAACTATCACATTTTATTGGTAGGTAACCTCATTTACGCATTATTTTTTTTTGTAAATCCATTAGGCTATATAATATACTTAATTCTTATAATAAATAGAGTTGGATAAGCATGTCGCTGATTTAATATTTCTAATGATCTAGATCTAATTTTTAGGAAATAAATGTATCTTCATAAATACATCCCTAAATAAATACATTGATTATACTGTTCAGTTCGGGAATTTTGCAAGCAAATGTGAGCCACCATCATAATATGTCACTACAAGGTTTTTTTTTGTGAGGGGAACATCATCAAATGACTTCTCCCGCCCAGGGCCAGGCAGGAGGGAGTGTCAGACTCTTACTGACTAAAAACCCCCCTGTTCCTTCTCCTGCTCTGTGCCGAGGTCGCGGTGCCTCATTGCGCTTACCCCGCAACCCCGGCTGAACATCAGCCCTTTAGGGCCCATCTGTGGTGGTCTAATGGCTCTTTGAGGCGCGCGCGGAACGCTACGCGCCGTACGCTCGGGCCTGGTTCTGGTCGGGCGGCGAGCTGCCCTTACTCGCCGACCGCAGACCCGTGTTTACGGTAGCCGGAGATCGTCCCTTGATCCCCGACGCCCATAGTGTCGCCAGTTGCGGCGGCTGGGGCGTGAGGAGGAGGATTGCTCCCTCACGCGGGCCACCTCTCTCTTTGCGAGCATGACTAGATCACAAAAGGAGGACACGGCGTCCCAGTTCCTCTCACTCCGCACCATGGCCTCGACTAAGGCCGGGCGCAAGAGGTCGCCGCCGCCGATCACTTCCCTGAGGACACGGCGGTGCTCAGCCCAGGCAGGGCATACCGCCACCGTATGCTCCACCGTATCCTCTAGGTGGTCCTCGCAATGACGACACTCGGGCGTTTCCTCCTGCTGGATCCGAAACAGGAACATACCGAAGCTGCCGTGCCCGGTAAGCACCTGCGTCAGACGGAAGGTGAGGACGCCGTGGCGTCTCTCAAGCCACTCCTCAAAGAGGGGTCTTACCGCTGCTATAGTAGCGTGCCCGAATATAATACAAGGTGGTAATGACATTACGTTACTAAGTAGGTTAAATTACAAAATTGTTCGATTCATTAAGGTAAGTTAAATTCGTTCCTTGTTGATTACTCTCGTAAGAGGAGCACTATCCATATGCGAGATTAAGGGTTTATTTTCATTCTGGACAGCTTGGATAACACCCGTTGGTCGAACAAACTTGTGCACTTTGAAGCGATAACGCGTAGGTAAGTCGTCACAGGATTGCACTGACACACTGACCATTGGCCGTGAACTAAATTTGTAGTTACTATAGGTAAAAGTGATTACTATGTTTATTTCAGTCTCTCGATTGGAGTTAAATAAAAGTCTAACAGTTCCTGGTTATTTCATTTTGAATACTAGGGATGTTATGGAGCTACATAATCCAACTAGATTTTTTATGGAATACAAGGCAAACAGACGGATCACCTACCACCGAAAATGATAGTCGCCGCCCATGTACATCTGCAGCACCACTTTTACACGTCAAAATACATGAAATGTGGTGTTGTGACATCATCATCAGACAATAGGCACGTTGCATTTGCTGAATCGCTCGTTCGAATAGAAGGGCACGAGACACGGGGTGGCGCCATCGCGGTCCAAAGCGGTCATCAAGCAGATTGACTTGACTTCCCTTGCACTATCCAGCGATATTGACCAAGCGGACTTTTTTATGCTAACTTGAATAGCAAAATTCGTAAATATACTCCGCTGTGCATTAACGGTGAGTTAGGTCTTCCCTTCTGGTATTCGCCAGTCTTAAGGACAAAAATAACTTTTCTGTGTGTGTTGGTATCTTCTAGAGAAAAATGAGTACCATAATTTGTTAAAAAATTAATAATAAGCCGCGCGATTATGATACCTTTTCAATGTTGAGGAACAGATGCAGGATGCTCGTGAGCAGCTGTATTATTAAGCAGCGGTAAGATAGGGGTCTTACCGGGGTCAAGGAGGGCCTTGAGGAGTGGCTTGAGAGACGCCACCTTCCGCCTGACACAGGTGCTTACCGGGCACGGTAGCTTCCTGTTTCGGATCCAGCGGGAGGAAACGCCCGAGTGTCGTCACTGTGAGGACCACCCAGAGGACATGGTGGACAGAGCATATGGTGGCAGTGTGCCCTGCTTGGACTGAGCACCACCTTGTCCTCGGGGAAGTGATCGGCGGAGTGCGTGAGAGAACTATCCTTCTCGCGCCCCAGGCGCCGCAGTAGGCGACATCCCGGGCGTCGGGGGAGAGACGATCTCCGGCCACAGTAAGGGTTGCTCGCCGCCAGACCAGATCCAGACCCGAGCGGACGGCGCGTAGCATTCCGCGCGCGCCTTAAAGAGCCGATAGACCACCACAGACGGGGCCACACACACACACACACACACACACTACAACCCTTATATTAGGATGTGTCGCCTCTTTAATTAAGTATCGTGAGACAGTCAGAATATCGGTATGTACCTAGCTAATTATTGTAATTTAGATTTTAATTATTAATTTTACTTTTAATGCTCTTGTTTTATGTAATAGCATAGGTACTTTTGTTTTTATTAAAATAAAATAAAAATTATTTTCAATATTTTGTTTCATATCATTCAACTTTTCATTTTTACATCTTTTTACAGATTTGTACATTTTTTATAATGGCAACAATATTTAATAAGCGTTCCAGGTCAAATAACTTATATTATTTTGCATGATTTCGACAATCACACAGATCCATCCATATGTCAAAACATAACCTATAATCACATTGTTTTTCTTTTTCATATGTAAAACGAATTGTTGTTATTCGAGTTGCTAATATTAAATTTACTGTAACTCAGCATAAATCATATAAGGTAAGTGTTCTCTATTATTCTAGACATAGAAAGTTAACGTTAATTAGAAAATAGTATCAGCATTACTACAGCGCAGGTGCTCTAACATACCTAGTTAAGTCTGTAAAGTAGGTAGTTATTTAAATACCAAAAGAGAAAAACTTTACGAAGTAAACTAAGTGTATAATGAAGAATTCCATCAAGAATTCTAAACCAAGTTGATTATTATTATTGATTCAAATATAATGACTATCGTGTTTCAATAAACCTCAATGTTTTACGTATTAAGTATCTCATCTCACACAAGACTAACATAATTTTCGCTTTATTTCCAGACAATGGCAGAAACTGGCCCCTTTTCCAGCAGTACTGCTTTCTGTGCGCGATGTGGCTCCATATTACCATTGCTACAAGAATTCGGTTCTGTCAAATGCTATGCTTGTAAAGCCTCATTTGATGCTGAAAGTAAGCTATTTATATATTTTCACATGTAGTTAATGCGTCAGTAAATTCTTACATCTAACATTTATAATAAATAAACAAACTAAAAGGCAGCACAGGGACATCACAGCCGATGCCTCTCTCATCTAGTGTCTATCATTTCGGCTTTAGTGATGATCATGCTGGAAGTATGCTTTCCTAAATGTATGATTCAGCCTCCTTATAAGGTTCATCAAGTTAAAAAGCCTGTATGGTTGTTAAAAAACAACTTTTGAAACCTCTTTGTTGATTCTTGTACTTTAAGTGTAATTTAGAATTATATCTAAAACATTAAACATTATAATATAATACCTATTTTATTTGATTTTAAAATGTTATTAACTGTTTCATAATATAAGAATAAATGCCATAGGTATTACATATATTGGATGAATTTGTATATGTAACCACATAAGTTTTTTGGTACCGATACGTAGATGGTGAAGCCTTTTTCATAGAACTTATTGACATATAATATAGAATTTGCTTTGGCATGAGATAACAACCATATATTATTTCAGATTTCAGTGACTTAAAATTCAACTACACAATTCACTTCAATACCGTGTCAGTGGTTACAAATGAAAACATACTGAATATGGATGGCCCGGAGGGTCCTGTGGTAGAACGGAAATGTCCGAAGTGTGGTAATGACAGAATGTCCTATGCTACATTACAACTACGGTCAGCTGATGAAGGACAGACTGTTTTCTACACATGTATATCTTGCAAGTAAGTTAAATTTTTAAATATGCTAACTTGGAATTTGTTTTTGACACTTTTTGTAGTTTGCATAAAGTTACAATTGCTTTGTGATGCAACTTGACCTATGATACTGTCTGTCTATATAAGAGATTTTTATGGGATAGTGTCACAGGCAGACAGGTTATCTGATGGTAAGTATAGTACCCATGGATATCCGCATCACCGAAAGAGTTGCAAGCATTGCCTTTTAAGGGTTAGGTATTTGAGTATTTGGTTTTGGGGATATGGGAAGAGAATTTGGATTCTGATAACCTCAGTTACCGGTTTTATGTGAGTTCATGGTGCTGCCAGTTAAGCTGGCCCATTGGTGCTAAAGTGTGATTCTCCTACACTTTAGTTGTATATATTTATTGATTTATTTATTTATTATGATAAGGTAGGCTCACAGCTTATGTATATAAAGTAGTTAGAAGTATTTGTTATAGTAGTAGGTCTTATGAATTAGCCAGTTACAAGCTAACTTTATTTTTATCAGATAGATTTTGGTTAAACCAAAGATTATTTTTTGAATAAAGATTTTCTTTTCAGGTACAAGGAGACAGAAAATTCATGAGTGTTTTACTATTTAATAGTATGTGTTAGAAATTTTATTTTAAGTAAATTTTTATTCTGTTTTTTCGCGTATTATTTTATAATGACTATTATTTCTAGTTTTTCCTAGATGCGAATTTCAGTAATGAGATCAATTAAGAATTTTATTTTTAATTTTTTATATTAATTTC